AGGTAGGGTCCCACCAGGTTACTGTGAGCCCTACTAAGTCTGGGTTCTTACTCGCAGTCAGGATGCACAGTACCTTCTGCTTACTTCCCATACTATGAGCATTAGTGTAGAGGCACCTGAGGCCTTCTGAGGATGTACGAGCCTCTTTCCCACTCCCAGGACAGTTGTGGCCCCCTACTCCCAGGATGTTGATGCTTACCTGGGCTTCCCTTCCTCTCATCACCCTGCATGCTGATGAAGTATCCTGTCCACTTGAAGTGGCCCCTTCCAGGTTCTGCTGCCTGGACTGAGCTCTGACCTCAGCAGCATCTCAGAACAGAAGTAAATGTAGTCGTGAACCTACAGTGCCGGGCAGTGGATCCCGGGGGTGGGGGTGGGGGGGCGGTGTATTTGCATCTCACACCCACCCTACTTTGATTCCTGCTCCACCCAAATAAAAAACTGCCTGCCCATGGCAGCAGTATTTTTATCCAGGCAGCAGTGATCGAGTGTATTGATGTCATAACTCATTATGGTCTATCTGATTCCTCCTAAACTCTTCATCCCACAGGTTTTAACAATCCTCTTTCTTTTTTAATGGATTTTATTAGCACTAATCAAACTATCCTTTCTTATGCTGTTCTGCTGGCTGTTAGTGGATCCTGATGATTTAGTCCCTGTTGCATAGCCCTGCAGGTTGTTTTTAACTCTAGCTAAAATTATTAGTTCAGGTGCAGAAATAACTTTCAGTGAAGTACTGGATGTGTTGTCAAGATGCTCAAGAAAGCTAGATAGTATTTTATGAATCTGAAAAAGAGATGGATATTTAATTCTAAGGACTACCAGATTAACAAAACAACGTATTTTGATTTATTTTTTGCCTAGTTTTTGTGTCTCATGTACATTAATGCACATTCCAATAAAGTCCTTGCAGTATCAGGACAATGACAGCATCTTTGTCTCTGTGATATACCTGTGGCAAACTAGGGGTGTCTTTCATGTTTTGGGTGTTATAATTGGCAGTTGTGTGATGGTTGTTAATGAAATATTTAAGATGAAATATCTTGTGTGAGCGTTGTGTGACGGTTGTTCATAACATTTTAAAGGATGATTTGGATGGGGATGATTCTCCCTCAAGGAGGGGTTTGGACTAAATGTGACCTCTTGAGGTCTTGTCCAGCTCTATTTTTCTATGATTCTATGAACTGAAACTAGGAAGGATTACAAAAATTTTGGATTTTAACTCAGAAGTGTCTTAATATACTGGAAAGCTAGGCAGTGGGATAAACTTCTACACAGAAAGACCAACGGTGTGACACCTTGAAAAAGATAATCAAGAGCACGACTACAAATTTGGTAATAGTTACCTGAGTGGTGCTGAGATTCGGGGCTTTTGATAGATCATGGGTACTGGATTTATGACCCAGTCCTGATACCTTGTTCTAGGCATACCCAATCCTCAGAGTGACCATGACTTCTCCATTTGATAACAGGCAATTTTTCTTGATACACCATGCTAGCAAATAAGAGTAATGCAGGCAAAGAAAACAAAGTACCCCCAATCCTACTTATATACCAGTTCCAGGGTATCACAGAGTGATGGTACACCTGGCCTTTATATGAGCATCACCCTGTAGTTCTTTGCTTGAATGTCAGATATCTTGGTGGTCAGGTGTTGATGTCCATGCCTCCCCCCCCGCCCCAAACAGATGGGCTGGGCAATATTGGCTGGTGGTGTGCCCTCCACCCATGGTGGCCTCTGGATCCCCACCCTGCTGCTCTGACAATCCCTCCTTTTGTATTATTTTTCTCCTGCTGACTCTTCAATCATTGATTAGTTTCCCTGTGATTTTCATTCTGCCCATGTTCTGTTCTATTAGCATAGCCTTTAGTTTCTCAAACATGACATGTGTAGATGTCAATGTGGCCATTTACTGGTACCTGAATTTGGGCACCTCCTGCCTCCAAATTTGGTCAGTCCACCAACACCAGAAATCCCAGTAGCAACCCCCCCCCCAAAAAAAAAACCAAAAACCCAACCCCATCGATTAAAAATTGCAGCTAGTCACTGTGACCTGTGTTGAATGTTTTCAGTTTCTCAGGATGTATGTGCCTGCTTGTCTCCTACCTTCTGACACACTGTCTTCCTCAAAGGCTGATAACATGAAACTTTGCCACAAACAGACTTTTAGAAATGAATTAACCCTTGAGGTTCCTCTGCACCATTGTTAAAACCCAACCCCATCGATTAAAAATTGCAGCTAGTCACTGTGACCTGTGTTGAATGTTTTCAGTTTCTCAGGATGTATGTGCCTGCTTGTCTCCTACCTTCTGACACACTGTCTTCCTCAAAGGCTGATAACATGAAACTTTGCCACAAACAGACTTTTAGAAATGAATTAACCCTTGAGGTTCCTCTGCACCATTGTTAATACAATATTTACCTCCTGGCCAATTCCTAAAAGCAAATCTTTAAATATTATTTTGTAGCCATCAGGTACAAGATGAGGCAGGAATGGGATGTGGTCAAGAAATAAATAAAGGGGCAAATGTAATTTGTATGATATGGGAGGCAATAGCTCTACTTGGTATTGTTATGCCTCTGGAGCACTGTGTGCAGTTCTGGGCTCCCCATTTTAAGAAGGATGTGGAGAAGCTGGAGAGTCCCCAACAGTTTATTTTTTTAACTCTCCCTGAGCATGTTTACGCGGGAATTTATGCACGCCTAAACCTAACGCACCTTAGCCCCAGGAGTACTAAGGCGTTATGGGCGCGTGTCTACACTAAACTGCCTTAAGGTGTCTCGCTGGCCTGTGGGCATCCCGCCCCGGTCAGCACCATGGACAGCCCCAGACGCCCAGCGCGCCTGGCTCCGGGGCTGGTCAGCACCCTGGACAGCGCCCCCCCCCACCGCCCAGCGCCGGCCCCGGGGGTGGGAGCCTCCCAGCAGGCGGGCTGGGACTGCGCCTGCGCCTGCGCTTGTGCCTGCCTCAGCGCCCGGCACGGGTTTCCCCACTGCAGTGCCCTCCCTCCCGGGCAGGTGCCAGGGCTCCGAGCCGGACTCTGCCCGTGGGACAGGCGGCATGAGCCCTTGGGGGCTCTGTGCAGCTCAGCTCGGGGAGGCGGAGCGCAACAACGCCGGGTGCTCGGTCTTGGAGCAGGGCCAAGGAAAGAGCGGAGCCCCCGGCCGCGTTGCACGCAGCCTGCCCGGGCCGAGCCGAGCCGCTCGCAGCCCCCAGGAGCTTACGCCGTCTGTTCCACGGGCAGTGTCCGGCACGGAGCCCCGGTGCTTGCCCGGGATAGAGACGGGTGGAGCAGAGCACGCCGTGCTGCGCGCTGGGGCCCGCCTGCTAGCCCAGCTCAGGCCTCCAAGGTAGTGTGAATCCCGGGCGGGCAGCGAGTCCCTCCCCAGCAGGCCTGCATTGCCCAGGGAGAGGCGCAAGGAAGCTGCCAGCAAGCCCTGCTGACCCCTTCCACTGCAGGGAATCTGGGTGGGGATTTCCCCTGTGCTTTGACAGGAGCTCTTGCCTCCTGCTCCCTCTCCGACCTGTGCCTGTAATGCATCTTAAAAATGGCTAAGGTGCCTTAGATCACCACATGTAGATGCGCCCTCTCCGCCTGAAGAAGGGTGTTTGTGCTGGAAAGCTTGCAAAGAACATGTGTTCCAGCTATTTAGTTGGTCTAATACAAGGGTGGGCAAAATGCGACCCAGGGGCTGGATGCAGCCCATCCGGCCATTCTATCCAGCCCATGGGGCCCCTAAAATTTTAGAAAATTAATATTAATCTGCCCTGGGCTGCCCGTCATGTAGCCCTCAATGGTTTGCCGAAACTCAGTAAATGGCCCTCTGGCCAAAATATTTGCCTGCCCCTGGTCTAATACAAGATATCACATCTGCACAAAGAACCTTGTCTCCCTGTGTCCTTAGACCAACATGGCTACAACCAGCAGCCCTAACTCACTCCAATAAAGTTATATAAGTTTCTGCTTCGCTTGCTAACTGAGTAATACTGTCCTGGGCCCCTAGTTGATTAGCAAAGCTTCTAGTTTATTTTTATCTGGAGAAAAATATGTGTTGTTTTATATGGGATGATGCACCTCTTTGTCTGCACCCCTCTTTTTCAAAATTCTCAATCCACCAACAGAGGAAATGTCGAGAGGACTAAGCCTATTATCTTGGAGAAAAGGAAATTAAGGGAGGGCTCTGGGAGACAGGTGAAGGACAAAAACACCTTTCAAATGCTCTTCTTCCTTGCTGCAGAGAGCAAGACACAAAGCAATGGCTTTAAAAGCTGTCTGACTTATCACCATGTAATACTCGCCTAAGGGTGAAGTTACACATTTAGTTAGAATGTGCTGCACACTGTTACATGATAAGGGTTAATACCATATCTTGCCTGCACAGATCTGACTTGCCACAAGAGGCCTGGGGAGCTTTAAGGAACAGACTCTTGTCTCCAAGCTTTTGACCTCTCTAAAGGAGCTGTACTTACAAGGAATAAAGTAAAATGTTGATGTGCAATTGGCTTAAGCAGATATTTACAGAAGTGTGTATAGTGAGAGTCAGAAAACATAGGCTGTGATAGGTTTCCTTTATAAAATTCTGGCTGGTTTCTTATGATTTTGGCATAATCTAAAGATGCCTTAGGGAGTCCTGTGTGCTAGGCACTGCACACACAGAAAAATGCACAAAGCATGCCTGGAAGTGCTTACCAAGCACAGACCCCACAGACAGGGAGTTAGGGAAGAGGCACACTATGGCAGAAAGTGCCTCTGGGGAGGAGTTTGGATGCATTACAGCGTGCCTGGCTTCTCCAATCCAAAAACATGTTACAGTATCCAGTTGACACTTTTAGAAAAGCTAAACAAGCTTGTCAGTGTTTGGTCTGTTTGGCACCCTTCAATTAGTCATCTATATAGTTATAATCCACTTCCTGTTAAAACTCTCCCTTGAGTTGTTTTTCTGGTTGAAGCTGTCAGCTGAGTTGTGACGCACACCGCTTGTAAGCAGGAAGGAAAGAACCCTTGCTTCCTCTCTCTCTTTCTCTCTCTCTCTGTTTAGATCTTTCTTTGGGCTGAGAATACTCCTGAGGCAACTTATAAACAGAAGAAATCAGGGATGCCCAGCAAACTTGGCAGGACATCACCATCAAGGAAAATGATGTGGAAACTAGAGATTTTCTAGTGGAAGACCACGTAGAAACACAGATGTTGTGGGGAGAACTCATTTTTCTTCCATAAGACAAGCTGGAAGCACAGAGGTACTGTGAGGTTCTGTGTGTATATATAAGTAGCCTGTTTTGATAGCAAAATCATGACTATAGAGCTGGGGAGAAGGGAGGGAATGAATCATGGATTGTTCTGACCATGAATTGAAAATATCAAGTCTTTCCAAGGTCAGAGTGAAAGAGAGAGCACTTGTACAGGGGAAAAAAATTAGAGAAAAAGGCTAAATTAGAAAAGAAAATGCTTAGAAATTAATGTGGAAAGTTGAAAATCGGATGAAAATTGAAAAAGGAAAAGGTACCAAGAGATGAAATCCAGGTCTGGAGTCCCACTGAGCTGTGCTCAGCATGGGACAAGAGGGAGAGAAAACATGACTGGCTTTTTGGGTCCCATGCCCTGACCTGAGTGCCGGCCTGATGCAGCTCAGAGGAAAGTCAAAGCAGCCCCAGGCTCGCTGCACTTTCAGTCAGTGGTGACAACTGCTGCAGACTCCCAGGAAAGTGAGGATGGTTTTTTCCATTGTCCTGTGGTGCTTCCAGGGTAGTAACTTTTCCTGAGAGATGATTAAAACCTGCCTTGCCACTGTTCAGATCCACTGCCTCATGCTCGCCTTTGCCACAGGGGGGAGAATAGTCTTTTCTTCTCTAACTGCAATCTGAATGCTACCACATCTTGCTGTTCCAGTAACTTACATTTAGGGACAGGGAGCTTAGTGTTCAAGGCTGCAGATGATCCAGAAGTGGGAAGCACTGCAAACACTTGGGTGGGCTGGATTAAAATTAAAGGGATGTTGACAGTTTGGAGAACTGAGCTATATTCTACAAAATGAATTGGACACTGACAAACACCAGGTGCTAGAGCAGGGGAAGAACAACCAAATACAGACAGACAGAAAGGGGAGCAGTTGCCTGGGCAGTAATGCTGCTAGAAAGGATATATGAGGTTGATGGCACATAGACTCAACATGAGACAGCAACAGAATGATATCTAAGAAAAGCAAATGCAGTTTAAGACTGTATTAACAGAAAAAATGTGTGTAAGATGGGCTGATTTGATCATTTTAAACAGAGCTGATTAGACTTCAGCCAGGGGACAGTGCACACTTTGGGTACTGCAGTTTAAGATGGATGTAGTGAAAATGGAAAGACTGAAAAGATGGGAACAAAGATGATAAAGAGGAGGGCAGAAGACAGGCCCATGCTTAGTTTGGGACAAATGGATAGAAGGTATAAACCTCAGGCATCTTAAAATCCTTCCAAGGGTGTTGTGGGATGTCATGCAATTTTAGCTGTGTTATGGGTGCAAAAATAATTCACAAGATAAACTCATAAGCCACATCCAGATGAGTAGGGCCACGCATTTGCAGTGGCACGAATAGTAGCGGCCCAAATTTGTGCTGCTACTGTTTGTTTCAGTACACATCCCTGCACGTGCACTTTGTTGAGGGACAAATTGTCCCTCTTTTCAGGCAGAATGCCTTTGCCCAGCTCCTCCCAGGTCCCAGCATGCTGGAGTACTAGGGTCACAAATGAAATAGTAGAGATGCTCTGGCCAGCACCTAGAGGGTCTTCCTGGAGGATCAAGACTCTATTTGTTTGGGTGCATGCATTTGTCACGCGCTCGTGCTATGTTTGTTTCCAGAAGCGGGTTTTTTTTGCTACTGGGAAGTCCCAGAAGCAAAATTTTCCCCAGTGCTGCAAATTGCAGTACATGGCACATTTTAATTTTCATTTTGTGTGGTTTGTGGCACCATAAAGAAGTTTGTGGTGCCATAAATTGCATGGCCCTGTTTGTCTGGACATGGCCAGAGGTTTCAAATCGGATTGCAGAGTGTTTAAAAACATTCTTCCCAGCTATGGGCTGTCTGAGTTCTTTGCAATAAAAGTGTGCTAGTATTTTTCTGTAGTCAGAAAATGAGTCAAAAGTAAGAGCTGGCATATTTTGAGAGGTGCCTTGAGTCAACTGAGGCATACCTTGACTAAAAAGATTGAGAATCACTGATATAGATAATTGCATTGATATTAAAGGATACTGATATCACCTGTTGCAACAAAACAGTTACATCTGCAATTTCCTATAGTGATGCAAATGGAAACAAGTAAAAACATTGCAATTCTAGCCCTTTTTGGTCCAATATTAAATTTAAATTAATTTAGCTAATTTGTATTTTAACCATAGTAGATCAGTGCAACAGTGCCATAGCCGCACAGCATGTGTTTTGGTTGCTTCACAAGAAGAGTTGACCGGTACCTCCTTATACCCGAAGAATTTACAGTCTGGTCATGAGAGCCCTCTCCCGGGCAGTGGGGAACATGCATTTGTATTAAGTGAAACAGCAAAGGATTACACCAGTGTCTGCTCTAAGGCCAGATGCTGAGAGTTTAATTTTGTACCCCAATTATTATTCCCCATGTCATTCTCCTGAGCTGTGTCCAAGCAAGACCTTGAAGGAGTTGATGGACGTGTCTCTGTTCCCTGATTTGTCACTGACAACTTTCCTTTGGAAACATTTCAGCCAAGCATGGAACGGGAGCAGAAAGAGGATGAATCGCCTATCCAGGGTAAGTAAGTATTCTGCCCTCACTGCAGTCTCAGACGGTGTTTTCCTGTAACGGCAGTTTCTTTCACAGAAACGAGAATTTCAAGGGTGGATCTAGTCCAGCGGTTCTCAGCATTTTTTGAACCAGGAACCATTTGTAAATGTCAATGGCCAGTCCCAACCCAGTGCCATTCAATCCTGACCCACTGCCCCTACCCCCAGGCCCTAGCC